CCCATCTCCAGCAGACCAGGGACACCAGGAGCAAAGCCTCTGAGGATGCCCCGGCAGCGGGACAGCCCCGGCGCGTCTGGGCTGCCCCGCTGCCGGAGCCCCTCCGCGGCTTTGCTCCGTGTCTTCCTGGTCTGCAGACCAGGGAGACGCGGAGCAGCTTTTCTCGACCCGGAGTACACGGGCGGCGGGACCTCTGGGGCGAGAAAAGCCCCGTTTGTACCTGCAAGTCGGGGACTGCCTGTATACCCGGCGTCTAAGACGACCCCCGATTTTTGGGGGATGTTTTTTAGCATAAAAAGTCGTCTTATATGCAGGAAAATACGGTAAGGTTCTTGTCCCAGAACCAGGTGACTCAAGAATTTTGCAAGGCCCTTTGGGAGAACCGAATTCGGCCTTTCAGGCTTTCCTTGAGATAAAGGGAACAATGATCAAACGGAGAAGGAATCAATCAGAATTGCAAAGGCAGTAACGTGGTAGAGGCACATACGGTACTATACAGCATACCGCTTCTTAGATTAACACACTCACACCCTGCCTCGGTCACCTGGTGGCTAGTGACGAAGGACCAGCCTCACCTCTGGCCTGCCAAGCGAGTCTGGTCCAGGTTCCTTCATGTTCGAGTGCGGAACTTACAGGTGCAAGAGCTAAAATGCCATAGAAAAGCTATAGAAGCTAAAACAAACACATACACACGGTGGTTTGCCCTTCCTATTAACCCTGGCCACTATGTGCCCACCTTCTGGGTCCAGACTTAATTTCCTCACCCACAAAATGTTGGGGTGCGCTTGCTTACACTCTGGGCTGGCAGATGTAGTAGTGACCATTAGCTCCGCCTCTCCTATGTCTAGCCTAACTGGTTATTTCTGTGGTGCACCTGTTGAGTTTCGAGGGCATGAACTTAGGTCGCCATCTAAGCCAAAGGTCTAATTTGCTTTAATTCATCCTCACTTAGCGAGGCGAAAGGTCCTGTACGCATGAAGGCCAACTGGCTATAGCTCAAGATACACAAAATGGCCCATAGAATCCTTGCGATATGGCCAAAAATGCTCTAGTCCAAATCGGTACATCTGCTAAGACAAACCCCTAAGAGACGGTAACTAAGGGTATGTCTACACACAGTTAATTCGAAATAACAGCTGTTATTTCAAATTAACTTTCATAGTGTCTACACAGGCAAACTGCTATTTTGAATTCAGTTCAAAATAGGGGGTGCTTAATTCGAGTTCGGTAAACCTCATTCTATGAGGAGTAACGCCAAACTCGAATTAGCTAATTCGGAATAAGTGCTGTGTAGATGCTTATTCTGAAATAGGAGGCCTCCAGCCTTTCCCAGTTTCCCCTGGTGGCTACTCTGGGCCAAACCAGGACAACTCTTCTGCTCCTTCTTCCCCCCCGCCCCCGCCCCGGAGCCCTTAAAGGTGCAGAGTCTGTTTGGCCACAGGGCCTGTGCCAGCTGCAGGCCTGCCAACCCAGAGCCCTCAGGCACTGCCCCGATGCAGGTGCCAGCATGAGCCAGCCACCCAGCGCCAGCCAGCCCTCCACTGCTCCCCAGGACCAGTCTGGCAGCTCCCAGGAGCTTGCCAGGGGACAGAAAAGGCAGGCGCCTTTCTGGTCCAGTACGGAGATCATGGATCTGATAAGGAGCAGCGGCAGGCCTATGCCAGAGCCATAGCGGGCTGCTCCCAACCAGGGGCAGACCCAGACCCTTTCCCCTATTTTGACGCCCTGGACCGCATCCTGGGGGCTCAGACGGTCCATGCCCCCCAGGTGGTCATCGACCCTGGGGCAGAGGGCCCTGACCAGGGCACGGAGGAGGAGGACGACGGCCAGGAGCCTGGAGGAAGTGTGTGAGTGTCATCACTGTCCCCTTATGCGGGGCGGGAGGGGGAGGGAGCCCAGGGACTGCGTGTGGTCCTTGCTGACCACGGATCACGCAGCAACCTGTGCATGTGCCGCGCCAGCCAGGGCATGTGGCCCCAGCTGCCTGCCACACAGGCCCTGGCCTGTTACCCACACGCATCTGTGTATGAAGGCACATGACATGCTCCTGACCCCGGGGAGAGACACTGCACAATGCCCTCCCTTCAGGAGCCCCCTCTACGCAGAGGCAGGGCACATCTCCCTTCCCCCCACACACCCACACTATATATAGCACAGGGGCATGGGTGCAATCCTGGGCCAGCTCACACTCCTGGGGATAGCAGGATATGATGGTGCGGAGACCTGCCGTCCTCGCCTTGCAGAGGGGGGCTTCACCCACTGTGTCCCCAGGGATAACTGAGCAGGTCTCTTGTTTCTCCACAGCCGCACCAGCTACAAGTGCAGGGTGCACCACCCCGCCCAGGACAGCCTCCCGCACCCGGGCCAGCAGGAGGAGTACCACTGGCAGCACCTGGCACTATATGCCAGGCAGGTCTGCTGCCAGGAGCCCTGGGTGACCCTGGTGCAGAGATTGGTGCCTGCTGCCGCTCCAGCCCCTGTGTCCGCCCCCCCTCCCGCTCCTCCTCCTCCCACTCCTGCTCCCCCTCCCCCCTGGGGATGCCAAGGCCTCCGCATGCGCAGTGCTGGGAGATCGGAGGGCTGGCAAGATCCCCAGCCCTGAGCTTCTCCTCCCCCTTTCTCCCCTTGTCTCCCCCTTCCAGCTCCCTCTTCCCAGGTGTCCTCTTCCCCTCTCCCACCCTCTT